GGCTTTCTTATGTAGGTTATGAACAGTGAGTGTCCTAAAGTGAATTCTGTCGTGTGTACAGTATCCGCGGACATAATGAATTCCCTTAATTTATGAAAAAAAGGCAAAACTCACCAACATAGCGCAAAGGTGTTCGAAACTGACAGCTTCCCGCGATCGAACCACTTGTTCACTTAGGCTCATCAAGCAGTGCACGGAGTGTTCCGAATTTTTTCGCAAAACTTTCTTTTATTCGCTTTAAGGGATTGAGGCGGAAACGAATAGAAAATTTGATGAAAAATGTTGACAATTTGGAAAGTTTTTTTGCAAGTTTCAAGTACTTCCGTTCCGTTCGTCGGAACAACTATGCAATCGAAGGGCAAAATATTTAACAACATAAAGGTAGGTCTGTAACACAAACAATTCTGAACAACGGATATTATAGTCAACGCAGTGGAATTAATAGACGGGACTTAATAAAGATCAAAAGAAAACGCGCAAAGTCCAATGGCAGGAAGTGATGGAAACAGGAATCGAAGAGAATGTCAATCCTGCTATGCAGTGATTCTCCGGAACGACTGCATTCACTGCACTTGTCTGCTTGTATTACAGCGACAAATATACAATGTGAGGACTCAAGTCTTTCTATCAACGATCTGTTCACCGAAAAGAAGAACAAGCAATAGTGCGTATTTAAATGACATTGAGAAAAATGTTATCGCGAATAGAGTTGAAATTCCAACGATAGCGGAGTTAAGTAAATCAATTTCTGGAATGATGTTTTCTTACGCCCTTTAATGCCAATTTCTGATGCGATTACAAAGGGAACAGTAGGCGAAGCGACCGAAATGTCTTAAACTGAATTATATTTTTGAATGCAAAATATTTGAAATCGTAACGTTCTGTCGATGTCTGATATTTCTAATTGAATAATTTCTCTCCTTTTTCAGATTTGTTGTTTTTGTTTTTTTTTTTTGTTTTCTTTTCTTTCCTCTGCTTTCCTTTCAGTCACGTCAGTATCATCAATTAGTCGATAAACATCAATCGATATTAATCTTCTTATGCCTACGTAGAAAAATATGTTTACATGTTGGAGCGGATGAAGAAAATGTACTCATTGGCGTATAACCATGTTTTTCAAAAAAAAAAAAAAAAATTTTTTTTAAATTATTGTCGCCAACCGGTTGCCGTTTTCTTTCAAATGGATAGACGATTCGAACGATTACGTGAGCGAAAATGAATTAATTCATTGAGAAAACAAGACGCGCCACGAACTATAAAACTGATGTGTAAAGGTTGATGAAACCGGCTGATTTGGCTGCGAATCAAACCGCAATAAATGCAATCGTATCACTCAAATGATTAATAAATTTAAAAGTTTTTTTTTTTTTCTGTTTTATTTACTTACTTCTGTTTTATTGTTCCTTTTGCTATTAAACGAAACAATACGAATATAACAATAAAAAAGTTATTTATTTAATTTAACCACAAAAGAAAACACACACACACACACACATACATACATACATCGTTTCATTTTTTTTTTGTTTTGATTTTTTTTTTTTTGATTTTTCATAATAATGCACGAGTGAGTACATTTTAGCGTAAGTCTCTATACTAATATTAATATGTTTGTGTGTACGCGAACGTTTATGTAGACTGCATGGCCCGTTCGTTCAATGAAAAAAAAAACATTTACAGATATATCTACGTTATTCATTCTGCACCGGTCCTGCAATGTCTGGCAACGACGTAAATGCTAGCGATGACTAAGTGCAAATAATTAGTGTGTGTTTGCCATAAAGTTTGCCATAAAATAAAATATTTTAACAGGCAGGCTACATCGGCAATCGGCATCCGCACCCACTACAGATCATACATTAAATGTATGAAACACTTGCAACGCATAGATTCGATTAGTTATCGAAGACCTTGTAAGTTATATGTATAGACTCTGGATTTAAATTTGTCAACCAGTCCATCCATCCGCCCATAAAATCTATAAATTAAAACCAATGCCTAGAAGAAGAATTTTTTGAAATCTTTCCTTCTAAAAATCGGTTGAGTTTGGGTTAGCATGACAACGTCTCTTTTATTAAAGTTGAAAGACAAAGGCATGTGTGTGTGTGGCTCTTTTTCATTTTCTCGAGTTTTTTTAACCTAAGAATAACAATAGCTTTCCTTGATTAAAATTCCTTTAGTTAATTTCGTCCTCCATCAAGCACCACCAGAACACCAGAATGCCCTTGCAGGGCATTCAACTTTTGACGATGTCTATTAGGGAAGCCGCGATGTGAAAGTTGAATTTCGTGCTGATTCGTGGTAGACGCAAGACCCATTGATGGCAGATTCCCCAATAAGAATATGTTGGCGGGTAACCAAACCAAACAAACTATACCAGGCATCTCTCCATTTGGGACACCGCCGGCTTTTTTTTTCCTTTGCTCTTTACACAGTCGCTTGGGCAGTCAATTTGACCACTTTGATACAGACGCTCAACTATGACTACATGCCGGAAAATATAGCTCTTCATAACCTAAACTTTTGGTTCTGAAAGCGTTACACATCCGTTTGTTAGTAGGCTTACGTTAAGTGGTCCAAACTTTGGATACGATTTTAAAATTTTGTCTTGAAACTATTTTTTACAAAGCGAGCCAATTGGACTTTAAAACGGCAGCGTTGTATACATAGCTTTTTCGCGCACATGCGTTTGAGGTTATATTGAGGTTAAAATTTTTTTGAGACAGCTTTAAAGATTCACTTTGCGAATTTTTTTGAGTTGAGAAATTAATGAAATATATCCGTATACGTTATTGCCACTCTCCAGTCCTTACATTACATGAAGAAGAGGGAAGAGGAACAAATTGCAATCAATATACGTACATTAATTATATATGTTGCTGTGACTACGATTTTTACATGAACTTGGAAGATTATAAGCTTTTTAAAGAAAGTATTTTCCGATCGCAAAAAATAGTAAAAATTTCTTATTTTTGCGGTTTTAAAAGCGAGCGCAAGCTGCTAAGCAACCTTTAAAAATCTACTTGGTTGAATAAGATGAGCAAGCAATGTCTTTAGCAAAGAGTACTGCCACATGCACAAAGGTAGGGACTAAAGGCAACCGTTATGATGCGAGACGTGGGCTGGTTATGTATGACGGTATATTAATGAGGCTTTAATTATGAAGCTATTTGTGCAACAATAAACGGTAACTTCAAATTTTTACAATCGGATGCGTTTGTCATCAATACGTCATTACGGCTATGCTTACATCTCTTGAGCATATTTGCATCTCATATCAACCTTCAACTTGCTGGCCAAATGCTTCAAATTTGTCTTATTAGTTTACATGCCATTCTTGAAAACTAGGGATCAGAAAATACTAAATAGTAAAAAAACCCCTTTTTGTCGTATATACCGAGCAATAGAAGTTAAACAAATGAATGGAGTCAGTGAAAAGAATGATCGATGCAAAGCGTTATGGTTGCGCTATATTGCCTCTGGTACACCTGGCCGATATTTTCGCGACCAGCATCAATATCTGAATCGAATTAAGCATATCCTTCCGTCCGTCTGTGTAGTTATGTCTGTTGTGAACGTTTCCCTGACCGCAGAAATGAAGCTATCGGTTCCAAAATTGGCAGAAAGATTGGAAATTCTTGCACGCAGGTTACTATTGAAAATGGACAAATCGCTCAAAGGAGACCTCTGTAGCCATCTTTTTTTTTCAAAAATAAAAATTCTTCGGTTATGGTTTTGGAAAAACCGGCCATGTCCACGCAATATTATAAAATATTAAAACTTGATTCTTTTGTCAAAACATTTGCAGCGTCTTGAGAGAAGCTTCCGAGAACATATAAAGTGTACATATTATCGATCAACATCAAATGTAAAGTGTTTTAGATATGTTTGCCAGTCGTCTGTCCATTTGTCTCTTGGTTAATGTGGTAAACGTGCTCATGGAGTTATCTGCTTGCTGCAATTGTGTAGTCCCTCCCGTAAACTTTCGCCCGTCAAACAACATATCTACAATGCTATAAAAACTGAAGACACCTTTGCTTTCTACCTTGCACTTTTATTCTACAAACACAAGATCATAGAAAAAATCAGCCACGCCCATCCAATAATATAAAATATAAAAATTTTTGTTGTTCGTTTTTTATTTTGTTTAGTCTTCTCCAGACTAACGGCGATGGGTATAAAACTTTCGGTTACAGCCGAATATCATTTTCTTACTTGAGCATCGTTAGGTCCATGTCTGTGTAGGCTTTGCAACGTGTCTCTTAAGCATAAGTCAATGTAAAATATATTAAAAAGTTAATGTCACTTATTTCCCAAATATTAATTGACTAAAGGGGAAATGAAAGAAATAACCGGAATGAATACACAATGAATTTCTGACCTCCTAAAATTAATAATAAAATATTAATTATGCTAATACCCAGTTAGTTCACTTTCAAATGATTTTTATTGATCTGATAATTTTGTACTTAATAATAAGAAACCAAAGGAAGGAAGTACAAATAAATTGCAATGCCTGCCTACTCAATGAATGTTGTGGAAAAGAATTTGAAACTAAAATAATATTGAGTTTAGATCGAATCTTTTCATACTCATCGCTTGCTAGCTTTTGCACTTTTTTCAAAGAAATACTTTTCGAAATTCAAGAGAAACCATGCGATAATCTCATAAGCGTAACAAGCTCTGTAAGTGCAAGTACTTTGTCATATAAATGAAATACAATTGCAAAATAACATTACCCAAAAGTACTACACTCTAGGCAATGCAATACCCTAAAGCAGTTGTCCCTAAAACTCGAAAATCATACAAATTAAGCGGGGAAAGGGATTACGGATTATCTGCTTTGTATTTTCTGGATTTATGAAACGGTTTGTTGGGTTTTTGATTTGGATTTGAGTCTGCAAAATTTGAAAAAGCCTGTAAGATAGACTACGGGCAGACATAGCTAAATCGCTTCTATTATTCACGTTGATCTCGATCATTTAACAAATTTAACGTACCTTCTGTGATGCGTACTCGGTTCTCAGTTCTCAGTTGTTTGTTCCCAATTAGTAACAATTACACACGTAATGTACTTAAAATTGTTTTTTTCCATTGCATTTTCTAATAGTAGCAAAAGCGGCATATCTTTTTTCACGTATTGACTTGTACACACATACACACACTCTCTTACATATGCTCATATTTCGCAAAAGTTTATTTTAAGTTTTTTTTTTTTTTTTTTTAAGTTTACAAATAATTTTCCACGATTACAAACATGACCATCGAAAGGGATTAAGTTTCATTTTTGCAAAAAAAATTTCATCGGTATAAAAAGTGATTTTTTTGTGACAAGGTCTCGGCGCTCTTTACAGAGAGACTTGATGTAAACTAAATAAATAGTTTTAATTAGATTTCATTATGAGACATAAATAAATGCATATTTTACAATTTTCGCTGTAATTTTCTATCCAATACAATGGACGATAATTTAGCCTTTAGATGGCTTTTTCTTATTACCCGGAAATTGTTTATTTTTAACGTAATTATTTTACTTAATAGCGATTATGAATTGCTTTAATTAAAATTTAATTGTAATCACAACACATTTAACACTTATTCGAAGAATGTAGAAAAAAAAAAAAAAAAAAAAAAAAAAAAAACCAAGAAAACATAACCGAGAGTTGAAAGAAAATCAGTACAAAATTCGAACCGACAAAACAAAATGAGACGTTGTACTCGTTTAGTGTAAATGTGCGCGCCAACTAGTTGGTCAAAGTGCTAAAAACTACGTCAAAACTGAAAAGACAACGAACAACAACAGCGGTGGCAGTATGTGGCAGCAGCCAGGCACAGAAGACAGACAAAAACACCTACTTCACTATGTATGAATACAGAATAAATGTACATACACATGAACACACATTCTTATATATTGTTTATGTATAAATAAAGAACACACCAGCAACAGCGGCAACAGCGGCAGCAGCAAAAGCAGCAGCAGCCGCAGCTTGTAGAAAAATAAAACCCTTTGCCCACACCGTGCAACCAGCCCAACAGATTCTGGCCGCCTCTCTGCTGGTTTCACGCTTCGAACATTTGTCGCTTAGCATTGAGTGAACGAGAATGTATCCACATCCAATTATTATTATTTATATGTACATATTTTTGTTTTCTCTCGTTTCTTGTTTTCCCTGCTTTTTAAACACCACTATTGGAGGACAGCGCATATACGCTTTGTTATTATGTTTGTAACACTGATAACACCCGCCAAGGGACTGCAAATGTCAATATTAGGTCCGCCAGATTTTCGATGTATTAATCTACTTTTATATTACAGCTGAAAGCCCCTATAAAAAACATCCATCGCCGCTTTACACTTTAAATTTTATATACTCACCCCTGTCGTGCCATTTCCTCGAATATATGCATTACGATTGCTTGATTACAGATCTTATAAAAATATGTATCGCGCTAGGTGACAAATATACAACATACAGTGGAATTCAAAACTTTCGCCATCAGTTGAGCCTCGCATCAACGTCCTACATAGCTTTGCACTGAGTTTGCCAGGACTACACATCACTAACCCTTATAAAAACGCTGATCACATTTGTGGACTTAAGAAATAGTGTACCCGCCATCAAGCAATTGCCATGTAGTGAGTTTTTCGACCGCGAAAATCTATATTAGAATTCGTCTAGGGTCCCTATGCGTCTAAACGCACTAGATGTATAGGTAAAAGCAGTGGCTCTCTCATATTGTGTCTATATATATATATATATATATATATATATACGTATTTCGCAACGCATTAGAAGTCCCTTAAAAAGATGAATCACTCCTCGGAATATATATCATAACCATAACCATGTGATTGTGGCTCGAAAAGTGTTGCCATTAGAAGCCGTTTCCCTCAGGAATCTAAGAACTTTTCCTCACATAAATGTTTCTGTACTCAATTAGCGCGAAATCTCAAGACATATGGGTACAGCTAAACGTACCTCTCGGTCTCTCTATCGTGTACCTTTGAAATTCGCATAGTCGCAACAGCTAGACTGGAGACCTTCAAAGCTCCTAATTTATGCACCTTACATTGGTCTAAAAGTTGACAGGCCATTACCATATAGTCTAGTGGCAGGATATCCGGCTTTGTCGGGCCCGGGAAGTCCCAGAAGGTTTGATTCCTTGTTATAATCCTATCAACTAAAAGTACTTACCAAAATCTTATTAAAAGGGAGCAAACAGAGCAAGTTGCCTGAATGAGTTAAATGCTCACGGAACTATGCAACTGGAAATTTTGTACAAGAATTTCAGACTCATGTTTTTTTCCGATTATAAGCCATAGACAGGAAATTTTAGTACTTTCCCGACGAAGTCTGGACGAGTTTCGGTGATTTGTAAACGATATTTCAATTTTGTACTTTTACCTTTTACAACTTTAGTAACTTAAATGGTAAGTCGGCAATGAGCCGTGTCTTAGGTTGGGCACCAAATAATTCCCCCTTGGTACACGCAGTGTATTCGGTTCGTCACTTACCGCCGTTCAGGAAACAATCACAATAAACTACCAGCTGCTGAAAAAACAAATTGGATGCGGGCGTACCTACTGAGGAACCTTCAATCTAAAATCGTACGTTGATGAGGAAGATATAAAGAATCTTCAGAAATCGGTGCAAAAGTCGTATCTTTTATATTGTATTACAAATGATCTCACAAAATTAAAATACTCATGTCTGCTGCTGGTGAATATAAAAATAATCAAGCATACATATTGATCCACATATGTACATACGCGTAAACAATTCAATACAAAGGCATAGAATAAAGCAAACTAGAGAGTTGAAGCAAAAGAAGTCGTAAGAAGAGACTAAATCTTGAAAAAGAATCAAGATTAATAAATAATAACAAAAAATACTGCAAAAGTCAGCATGAAAACAGTCACAAACACCATCGAGCTTGCACTTGTACGAACAGGCAAACATACCAACAAAAAGATTCATATGAGGATATCAACATCACACAAGAGCAATGTAACAGCCACAACAACAACTATTAAGCAGAATAACAATAAAAAAGAAAAAAAAAAGAAAAAAAAAATAACAAAAAGATGCATTCATTTCTTCACACCTTAAGCAACGTTTTAGTAATAAATGAAAAAAATGTGGAAAGGTGAGAATACTGTACCAGTTTTGACACGAATATGGGATATGCGCTACAACCTTCAATCTAAGTCAAAGACTTTTCCTTATTAAAGTGCAGATAATAGTTCGTTAGCTGAAACTTACTATACAGCAAACACTAAACTACTTTATTAAACACTGGGATTGTGAAAATTCATAACTCTAGACATTTATTAATATCTAATGTAGATTTTGAAAAACCTTTAGGGAAAAATATTCTCAAGTTTCACGTCAAAAAATATCATATAAAACTTCGCAAATTTCTATACTTTTGTTATACATGTGTGTATATGTATGACATGGGTTTCTCAATAACTAAACTTGATACAAAACTTCGCCATGCTACAAAATCAACACTACTCGGTCCGGTTACTCTATGGCTACCTGTAAAGAGAACATGATTCTCGTCTATTTCTTTGATCAAAGCCCCAGAATTCTTGACTATTGGAATATTTTTCACTTTAAACGATTCTCGCTTTTATTGGGAGTCTACTTTAAAGGGAGGGCGCGAAAAGTCCAAATGCAAAGTTATCAGCTGACTTGACTCAAAAATGCCATTTCTTGCCGCCCTTCAATATTAAATAAAATCATTGTATTATGCTTAATACGATCGTGAAATCTTCTTTTGGGTATATTTTCTTTCATAGCCACGATGTGATTTTCTAAAAAGGAATCCAACGCTTGCTTACAATGAATGCTAACGAGACACCCAAAGAGAGTAATTTGCGATAGATAAGAGAAGAACTAAGTGGTATTAACCTCGATTCCCAGCTAATGGCTGTGCAGACGCATCATCAGTTACGTGGTCTGTCTTCTCGCCCTGTTGGTGACAAATGCCAATGGAGCTGAACCCTGTTTAGGGAGCACGTGAACGTGAACTTTTCGCACTAACACCCAGTTTCTTGTCTAGCTTTAGGTCCTTCTAGAGTCTTTGTATGTGAGCAGAAGCCACAACAAGACCCAGTTCCTTGTCTAGTTTCAGGGTCTTCTAAAGTCTTCGTATGTAAACTAAAACTAACCTATAAAAGTGATCAAATTTTGTAGACGAGCTAGTTAGCCAAGAAATTAACTATTATTGCCTACGACTCTCTTTACCCTCTTCTGGAACCAAACAAGACTACATCTAGTATAATAAATCTGCGTATTTCCTCTTTTATCTGATGGATACCTGCTCGTACAGCTTGCAAAAGTTTTGATCAGTATTAAATAATAGTTTAAAATATTTATAAACATTTTCTGAGCAGACAGGAGCCAGAACGTCTTGATAATGATAAAAGTTTACACCCACCCGCATAAATTCAACGGAATGTATGTATGTAAGCAGATCGATCGTAAGTGCGCGAGCACATATCTTTTTAATTTCTGAAGGTTTCAATAACAATTTTAAAAGTGTTAAAAATTTGATAGCATTGTGACGCTTCTTATAGAGGAATATAGCAAAGAAAGAAAGAAAAAAATAAAAATAAAAAGACAGCAACCAAAACAAGATCTCATACCAATATCAAGGCAAAGATGAAATATTCGGCATATGTGTGTACACATATCCATGCATAAAACGAAGTAGGCATCGTATACTTGCATGATGACAAAAGCACATCAGGCCATTCTTACACCTAAAATATATCCGACTTTTATCTAAAGAACTCAATGAAGCTCAACAAAAGTAATTCATTGCAGCTGAAAACGAACGAAAACAATAAACAAAAAAAAAAAAAAAAAAAAAAAAAAAGAAATAATAAAAGCAAAAAAGACAAACAAAAAAAAAACAACGTTTAGTTTACACCGAACGTTGGAAACTTATTACTAAGAGTTAGCTGATGCTGATAGCATCGCTTTTTATTAACCGTAGACTTACTGTAGCCTCAGAGTATTTTCTTTTCTAAACAATTGTGACGAGTAACTAATACCAATACATAGAAACATGGTAGTTTTGTATCGAGTATCGGGCAGCGACTTTAAGAACTCAGAACAGGTAAAAAGGTCACGATGATCTTTAAAAAATGACAAACAGATTGTTCAATTTATTATACTATGACACTTCGAAGGATAACAACCTGGACAAGCAAGCAAACAAATGGACAAAGGAAGAAATAAAAAAAATCCAGTTTTTAAGATTCGTTTTACTTTCTATTGCATATGTATGCATTTCAATTATGTGATCACTCACGAACCGATTTAACGAATGACTCGGATATGAAAAGTCCTCATAATTAATGAAGAAACTTTATTAGCTTTCGTTTACTTATTTATATATTCATTTTATTTTTTTTTTTTGGACCAATGAGCACCATTTTCTATAATAAATGTATATTCAATAAATACTCAGATCAAATATCAGATTATTAGTTAACGTCTTTCTTTTACGATTAGAAGTAAAAATATACTAAGATTTTTAATTTTGTTTCTCATATTAAACACAAGTCTTTTAGATAATAAAGTCGTTTACTTGAGGAGATCACGTACACTTTTCAACTTGAGTTGGAGTCCTTCCCTCTCAGCTGCTAAGATCAGAGGGATATCGCTGGTCACCAATCAGTTACCTTTTGAACCAAGAAATTTCACAAAATAAGCTTCAAATGCACATGCGAAAGGCATTCGGTTTCTCTTCCCTTTCATAACACCAAGTTGAAGTCTTTCCATCTCAGCTGCTAAGATCAAATGGATGTCGCTGTCCATTCATCAATCAACTTTCACATCAAGAAGCTTTCCAAAACGACCTACGGATATTCGGTTTCTCTTCCCTTTTATCAGCCCAAAGCAAGCACATATCAGAGCTATTGAAAGATGTAAAAGTTGGGTGACAATTACGCGTGGGCAACTAAATCGTTTCATTTACTTCAATATTTTTTCGCTTGTTTAAAATGACATTTTTCAATTCAAAGATTTTCAACCTATTTTTGTTACCCTCACGTTCTGACGGCGGTTGACGGTTGCTTTCAAAATTCTGAGTGTTCAACATCCAAATTGTCATTCTCGTGACCCAGTTATCAGTTCTTCTTTGGCTGATCACAGAGCGCCCACTTGGCCTACTTTTCAGTTCCTACCCAAGAAGAGAGAGAAAAATTTACAGCTGTTCAAAAAAATCAATGGTCAGATTTTCTCCGCTAGAGGCCCTATACGCGTCCTTTACCATCAGCTTAAATATCAATGAAAATTATTGAATCGATTTAATGACACTGATACAATATACAAAAAAAACATTTCCCAAGGTACGTTCTATATGAATTAAAATCGTTGTAATTGACCCTATGACACGCCCGATATTAATTATTTATTTTTATTATTCTGCAATGCCTTTTCGTTGGACAGTGGTAGACTAAGACAGTGGTCAGGAATAATTCGCATTCCGCGTTAGCTTCACATACAAATTTTATATTTGGTCTACAATTCAAGATAAGGCCCATCATTTTTTCGACTAACAGCGCAAGAAAGCTAAGGGATTTTATGGAGTATTTCCATAGAAATGATTCAAGTTTGTTTACTTCCTTTTTGCTGTGAAGTTCTTTAAAATTTCTTTTATTGTACAAATTATTAAATATTAAATTCATTAATTTAAGCC